CCACAATATTATATGTAATTAATAAATATAATCTACCACTACATTACGTGTAATTTACTTCAGTACCATTACTATGTTAAGTACACGGAAAAAAATTATAAATTCATATGAAATGTATTATACCTGCTGTACCCTGCCAAGACCATGCGGGTGTGTGTAAAATTAATCTCATTTATTTTATTAATTTAAGTTTTATTACACTAAAAAATTTTAAAAAATAATTATATTAATTTTTTATTATAATAAAAAAAATTTACACTGTCCTATCACCATTAAAGGTCATATTGTATCAGACTTCCTTTAATTTGGAGGCTAAACTCAATAAAGAGAGACTTCCAAAGTTGATTAACAACTCGGATAGTAAGCATTATGATTTGACAAATTAAAATAGAAATAAATAAATAAAAATAGGAAAAAATTAAATGGATATTAGTTGTATTTTTTATGAGAAAAAATATTATAATAAATTATAAATTATGATTTAACTTATGACATAAATTATCATATTAAATACTTTAATGTGTGCATTTAAAGTAAAAATTCGTATTATAACTCAGATTATAATTTGTAATTCATTTGAGTGAAAACTGAAAATAATTTTAAATTTAAAAACCAAATCAAATGACAATTTGCAACAGAAAAAAGGTAAATACTAGACGGCTTCTTTTAATGTTTGATAGGAAAGAAAAGTATAAGGAAAGAAGAAGGTGAAGGGATTTTGAGAGGAAAAATAAAAATATAAGTTGTTTGGTAGGAGAGAAAAAAGAAAGTAAGAGAAAATAGAGTAGAAAATAATATATGTGGGCCCTATCATTTTTTTTCCTTCCACAAGTGGGCAGAAAATGAGATAGAAAATGGAGACAACTCATTAAAGTGAGCAAAGTTGCTAAATTACTATTTTCTCTATCAACATCTAAGTAAAAAATTTAAGGATATAAAAGTAATTTAGGAGTAATATTTTTTCTTTCTTCCCAATTTAACTTCTAATACCAAACAAGTGAATGTAAGTTCATTTTCTTTTTATTTTTTTTACCAAACAACATAAAAAAAAATCAATTTCTTTTCTATCATTATTATTTTTCATCATTTCCATATTTTCTTTCTATCTTATTTTTTTTCCTTCCTATCGAACATAGCACATTCAATTATTAGTGCAAGTGAAAAGGAGATGTGTCCATTATTCTCTCGTTAGACTCGATCGTTTGTATCTCGCTTGACTTGGCTGATCTGGTTGTCAACTTTTATGTTTTCTTTGCTCTATTTTTGGTGTACTATATTCGATCGTTTGTAATATCTTTTTTTCAAAAAAAGTTGTTTTGAAAGCTTCTCAAATATCTTAAGTCTCGTTCATTTCACTAATTTAAGTTTAAAATTTAAGTTTTATTATAGTAAAAAATTCTCAGAAACAGTCACATTTAACTTTTTTACTACAGTAAAAAGTTCTCATAAAAAATCACATTTCAACTCAAATTAAAAACTCGAATCAACGAACTAAACGGGCCCTTAATATATCAATAAATTAAGTTTTTAGTCTGTGATATTTATATAAAATTACGTAAAAATTAAAAAAAATGTACAGATTTAATGCTTAAAAAAATCTAACATACTCATACACAAAACATATCAGAGAATTTCTGTTTAATTTTTTGTTCAAATTCAAGAACCAAACCAACCCTTATAACTTTCCAATTTTCTATGTATGCCAACATACCGATAAATTAAGTTTTATATCGGTCAAATTTACATAAAATCAGGTAAAAATTAAAAAAATATGCATATTTAATAATTAGAAAAACATAACTTAACAGTACGGTAAGCGTACTAAAAAATCTCCCTTTAATTTTTTATTTAAATTCATGAATCAAACTGACCCTTATAACTTTTCAATTTTCTATGTATTAACTTGCGATTTAATTTTAACTCGTTGGATGAAGTTTATTAAAAGATTATTTTTTGTTAAAAGTTTTTGTCTCTGGATCCTATCCCATAAAGAGTCTTCTCCGGTTAGGGTCTTTTTATTGATATGTTCAGTTTTTGACTATTAAATCTTATTAAGATTGTATTAGATTGAAAAATATACAGAATTAATAATTTTAAATGCATATTTCTACATAAAAAATACAATATTTTCAATACATATTTATGAATAAAAATACAGTATTTTCAATAGTTTATATTTTCACCAAAAAAATATTAGTCTTACCATAGATCTAGTTTGAATACGAAGTTAAAGGACATGCATTTTGGAAGCGCAAATTTTAGATGTGGAAAAAAAAAAAGATAAAAAAATAAAAATAAATATGAGAATAAATATCTAAAGCAAAGACATGAGAAATGACAAAAGAAAAATTTAAGAAAAAATTTGTGCAAAATGTTTCACAACTCAAACTGAAATTTATGATAATTACAGGTAAAAAACATTAATGTAAAGACATGTTTAAAAATAAATTAATTTAACAAGATAATTAAAAAAATAAAATATTTAATAACTAAGAAAAGTATTTAAATGATGTATATTTAAAAATATATAAAAATTAGAAGTTAAGGAAGAAAAAAGAAGAAAAAAAAAAAAGAAAAACTAAAAAAAGGGCGGGAGGAGGGCTCTCAAAAAACCGATTCTCACTTACGAATTAGGTAGATATGATAGATGATAGATTTGATTATGGGTTTCATAAATTTGTTTTCTTAGAAATTTTTTATAGAATGACAATAGATGGATTCTTGCAAAGTTTGGTACCAAAAAAGAGATGGACTTGAAGTTCAGCCACAAATTAGTAATGATTATTTTTGTTTGGTTTTCAGCCTGGTCAAAAATCCAAACGTAAATTTTGCATCGTCTTGTCATATCCACATGACCATCCAGTAAAATTTTCCAAATCTGTTACTTTCAGTTGAGCCTTTCTACATGTGCAGACACAACAATATTAAGGCAGCCATGCATATTATTATTATATTTTTCGATACGTGGTTATGCTTTGTCTTTCACCTCATTGATTTTTAAAACCGTGCAGGTCTCGTTTACTTTATGAATTTGAGTTTTTAATTTGAGTTGAGATGTGATATTTTTTAAGAGTTTTTTACTGTAATAAGAAAATTTAGATGTGACATTTTTTTAGAGCCTTTTACTGCAGAAACTTAAAACTGAAAATTTAAATCGGTGAAATGAACGAGGCCTTCACTGATTTGAGTTTTTAATTCGAGTTAAAATGTGATTTTATGTGAGAATTTATTACTGTAGTCAAAAAGTTAGATGTGACTATTTATAAGAGCTTAAAACTCAAATTTTAAACTAGAATCGGTGAAATAAACGAGGCTTTAGTATCTCAATTAGTATCCAACTAAGTATATTACAGACTCATTTATTTCACCGATTCGAGTTTTTAATTTGAGTTGAGATGTGATTTTATGTGAGAGCTTTTTACTGTAGTTAAAAAGTTAGATGTGACTGTTTCTAAGAATTTTTTACTATAACAAAACTCGAAGTCTAAACTTGAATCGGTGAAATGAACGAGGCCGACATGTGTCTTTTAATATACTTAAACATCAAAGTAAGAAAAGATAATTAATTAGTTAAAAGATATTTAAAATTTTTTAAATAATATGACACAATCTGAATGATTAGATACCATTTAAAATACTGAAATTGAACATGTAATTTAAATTTAAAAAAATGCTTATAGTGTAGACCATATCTAAACACATGTCTATATAGTCATCGAATTAAACTAATTACGCTATGCAAAAAAAAAAAAAGATTACTATGACAATGCAGAGTCAAATAAATACCAAACAATTTATCCAGATTCAAATGTGAAAAGAAAAAAAAAAAAGGGATATTTTGGTCAAGTTGGTTAGGATCGTGAGACTATAAGACTGTACCTTAATACATATTCCACACGACCACAAGTTAGTCACCAGACAGACCAAATGATAGATCTTTTTAATTTATCTTCATTGACTTGATCACCACCCTCTTCTCATTAATCATGATTATTACTATAACCACAAAAAAAAAAAAAAATAATAACAATTAATTGAACTATTGAGTTGCCCTAATCCTAATTAATATGACATGGATAATTATAATAATTAAAAAATGAGAAATATTTAATAAAGTTATGTGATATATATGCATAACTAAAATATATAACATGACGTTTAGTTGGAAGATTCAAACCATGTGATTCGAATCATTTTTTATTTACGTAAATTTTTTGTGAGAGAAAATACTGTAGCGAATCACGAATCATGATTCGAATCAGGGAACGAATCCATCTACCAAACATAGCCAAGAGTCTCGTTTACTTTGCATTTGAGTTTTCAATTCAAAGTGAAATGTGATATTTTTTAAGAGTTTTTAACTATAATAAAAAAAATTAAATGTGATATATTATGAGAATTTTTAACTATAAAAATTTAAAATTAAAAAGTCAAATCGATGGAAATGAACTAACGAGATCATAGTGTATATTGTGGCATGTGGATGTTGGATAATGTTGTGATATAAGTTGGCAGTGCTTGTAAAAGAGTTTGAGAAGCAGATGATCAGATGCAAGATTTTTAGACAGTCAAGATAAGAGAACTTAGAAAGACAAATGTCCGTTCTTTTCGCTGATTTGAGTTTAAAATTTGAGTTTTGTTACAGTAAAAAGCTTTCAGAAATAATCACATTTAATTTTTTTATTACAGTAAAAAGTACTCATATAAAATCACATATTAACTTGAATTAAAAATTCGAATCAGTAAACTAAACGGGTCTAAAAACTTATTTATTTTGTTAACTTAAAATTTTAATTTAAATTAAAATATAATTTTATATAAATTTTTTTTATTATAATAAAAAAATTAGATATGACTGGTATTTTTTTTTACTCTAATAAAAGACTGTGACCTTGTGGGGCTATCAACTTCAGCATCCCTCTCTTTTCCTCACTTTTTTTTCTTATTTAATTTTTTCCTTCTCTCTCTCCCCCTCTCTCTCTCTCTCTCTCTATCAAAGTTATAAATTTGAGGTGCAAAAGAGCTGTCTTTTTGCTTTTACGAGGAAAGAAAAAAGGCCCTCAAACTTTGGTCCGCAGGTCCGGCATTCTCCCTTCCTCTCCAGGCTTCATCAGCACCATCACAATCTCTTCTCTTCTCCTCTTCTGAACTTAAAAGGAAAACTGAAAAAGATAAAGCTCCCAAAAAACGACAACGACAACAACAACAACTTCGAAGATCAAAAGGCCTCAACTCTTTTTCACGCGCGCACATAAATCTCATTTGTTGTCTCCCGATTCATGTAAGTCCCTCCGTCTATTGCTTTTCATTTCCTTATCAAAAGTCGAGCTTCTCCACTTTTATCTTCTCTTTCTCTCTCTCTCTTTGTTATTGTCGTTTTCGTCAATATCTAATGTCGTTTGCTTCTTCTTCTCATTGCTCCCCTGTTTTTGCTTCATGCTCTGTTTTTCTCTCTTCTCTTCCATTTCTTCATCAAGATCTTAGATTTTCTACTCAACACAAAGAAACCCAAAAAGGGGAAACTTAATGTTGGATTAAGGATCTAAAAAGGTTTTGTATTTTTTTATTGGGTTTAAATTTAGTTTTGTTAAACTCTGTTCTGTTTCTGTTTCTGCTCTTTAATTTTCTTTTTTTTTCTTTTTTTATTGTTTATTTCTTTTTCTTCTAGGATCTTCCAATGAACTGTTTTAATGACTTCATGTCTCCATTTTCCCTGCAACTGGGTCATTTAATATTGTGGCGTTGAAATTTAATGATCCATTCTTACACTTGTTAATTAAATCAAGTGTTTTTTAATCCCCCTCTTGCCATTTGATTAATTATCTATTTTGTTTTCTCTTGAAGACTTTCACTTTCTAATTCATATTTTTTAAAATCTTCTTATTAGAAAAAGAAATAATCTTCAGTTAACCGATTCGGATTCCCTTTAAAACTAGCTAACTATTGATTAAATCTCTAATTAATTAGGCAGAGCTTATTTTTATTGGCTAATCTGATTGGAGGATCATAATAATCTCGTTCTTCTTCACAATGAGAGCCGAGCGTGGAAGGATCTCCAAGGTAAGCCAAAAAAAAACCCATCTTTTGTTATTAATCTAGCTTCATAAATCATGTTTAAACCCATAATAATCACTCTTTACTTTAATTTTAATCTTGATTTATTATAGCATGCTTCATGGCCGAGATTAGTGAGAAAATGGCTAAACATACAAGCTGATGAATTTTATTCCGACTACGCCATAGAAAGTAAGATTTATTTTTATTTTTTACTTTTTTTGTTTTGCTTCTTATTGAGTTTTTGTTATGAAATAGTTTGATTTTTACAAAATTTTGTGAAATTAATTTAACAGGTTATTCAGATAATAACAAAAAATCTGAAAGGAGGAGAAACAGTTGCTCCGACGAGGACTGTTACGTCGTCGTACCCGGAGATTTTTCAGGTTATAATTAAAAAAATTATTATATTAATTGGTGCAGTACTGGAAAGTACAGTTGTTACTATTAATTAGTACTAGATTGGATGTGGGCCGTCGATCTGTAATATGTTTTTGATGGTCGGCGTATGTGAGCCGTCAGATGGATATGGTGATGGGGTAATGATATTGTTATGGAATCCACATTAAAAAGGAGAAGATAGCAAAATATAGTGGGCTAGTCAATGAAGTAATTCTAGGGCTGCACTTGAGTGGGAGTTATAATTGATTTATGAGAATTTGTTTTAGCTTAATGAGATTAGATTAGACTAATCCGGCTCTTTATTTAATTTAACCGATTTGAGTTTCTAATTCTAATTTATTATAATTAAAAGTTTTCGTAAAAAGTCACATCTAATTTTTCTGTTAGAGTGAAAAACTCTCACATAAAATCACATTTTAACTCAAATTAAAAACTTAAATTCTCAACTGTTCTTTGATTAATTTGAGAATTTTGCAGTGTTTTCAGAAGAGGGGTTGTTGATGGAGCTACCATCAGCTGTTGAAGTTGACGATCAGAAAAACCTGAGGTGATCATCTTGGATTTGACCCTCTCCGTTACCTCTATTGACTTTTGCGCTAAGGTTTTTTTTTTTTGTTTTTTTTTTTTTGTGTGTGGCCAAGATTGAAACAAAAACGCGTCCAATTTGGTATTGTTGTTGCTAAAACAAGAGCGATGCAATTAAATAATAATAATAATAATAATAATAATAATAATAATACTACTGAGGTATTAGTCACTCTTAGTGTAGCAATAATTCTATATTTCTACTAATAATTCAATTGATTTGGCTTTGCAAGTTCAAAAAATTTGTCATGGGATGAAAATGCGTAGACTTGCTTAAGTTGCACGTTAGAATATAACGAATTTATGATTGGATTTGATTTGTCAAAGTTAGATATAACAGGTTTTTTTTTTTTTTCTTTTTTTTGGTACAGTATTTGTACATATAGTGTGTGGTTTTTGAACGTTAAATCTTGTCAAAACTATATTTAAACAAAAAAAAAAGTATGCAAAATTGAGTGAATAGACGATGATGAGTTTGGTTTGGATGGGATTAGGATGTTCGTTGGAACATGGAATGTTGGAGGGAAGCCTCCCCACGATGGCTTGAACTTAAGAGAGTGGCTGAACTCCCCTGCTCCTGCCGACATTTATGTTATTGGGTAATTCCTCTCTCTCAATATTTATACGTATATATATGTATTTGTGTGTATATATATATACTCATATATTAATTTGTTTGTTAATAGTCAGAAATATGGCTTCATATATCTTCCCTAGCTAGCTAGTAGCTACTAAATACTAATCATATGTTCTTATTATTTATATGTACATAATTGATAATTAGGTTCCAAGAAATTGTGCCTCTTAATGCGGGTAACGTATTAGGTGCGGAGGACAATGGCCCCGCTTCCAAGTGGCTCGCTCTCATTTGCGAAGCCTTGAACAACGACAATGACAACGACAACGATAGCGACAACATCGGGCATTCTCACCGCGACAACACCCCGAAGACCAGAGTGAGCTCCTCGGACTTGCTTTCCTTAGAAAACGAGCTTGGCGAAGAGGATTTCCTAAGACTTCTCAATTCAAACGACTCGACGTTGTGCCCTAGCGGCGAGTGCTCGCCCAGCTCAGCGTTTTTTACGCGGCCGCGTTATAGGCTGGCGGCCAGCAAGCAAATGGTGGGAATTTTCTTATGCGTGTGGGTTCGGTCGGACGTTTGCCCTCGCATCACCAACTTGAAGGTCTCTTGTGTTGCTAGAGGCATTATGGGATATCTTGGAAACAAGGTTTGTTAAGATTTTTTATTTTTTATTTTTATTTTAAGTATATTGCTATTCTCACTAACGCGTGTCAATCCAAGAGAATTGTCATATGACTAGAAAAAGCAAACCATAATTGAGTCTTACTTTACTACGTGACAAATATAATATACTATATATATATATATATATGTGTGTGTGTGTGTGTGTGTGTGTGATCATGACGATCGTGTTTTTCTAATTAAATGTATAGTATAAGCAATGTGAACATGTAATAGCACCCCAGCTAGCGAGAAACACAAGTTCGACTAATATATATACTTATACACATATATATATATATGTATATATGTATATAAATGTTGTTTTGGATTGTGTGGATGACAGGGTTCGATATCAATAAGCATGACATTGTGGCAGACAAGCTTTTGCTTCGTGTGTACTCACCTGACCTCTGGGGAGAGAGAAGGAGATGAGGTGAGAAGGAATTCAGACGTGATGGAGATTCTAAAGAGAACACGGTTTTCTCATTCTTGTAGACCTAATTCTGGTCAAAAACCTCCTCCTCTTACTATATTGGAGCATGAGTGAGTCCCTTTAATTTCTCCTTTATAATTTGCAATTGTTTCACAAAGATATATATATATATATATATATATATATATGTATTGGTTTATTATTGATGCTTTTTGTGATGATGATCATGCGTGATGATATTCTCAGCAAGGTGATTTGGCTTGGTGATTTGAACTACCGGCTTGCAAATGCAAGTGGTGACACGCATGAGCTACTAAAGAAGCATGATTGGCAAGCACTTCTAGAAAAGGATCAGGTGTGACATCTATCTCAGCATTGATTTCCAATTTAAAAATATTATTCATATCACTATCGGTGAGTCATACAGTTATCATAAAAGTGACGATATGAGAAAAATACACCGCGTAACAGAATAATACCCAGTTCTTCATTTATTGTATTTTTTTTATGTTGCAACATGTAGAGGTACATTATTTGTTATGGATTGGTTGCTTTTGTTCTTGTAGGTGCAAATTTGAAAACTATAATAATCTAATTATTGTTAGAAATACTGGTTTAATATTATTGTGTAGCTAAGGATAGAGCAAAAAGCTGGTAGGGTATTCAAAGGATGGGAAGAAGGGATCATAAGTTTTGCTCCAACATACAAGTACTTTGCAAATTCTGATCATTATGTTGCCCAACTCTCTAAATCTAGAGAGAAGGAAAGAACTCCTGCCTGGTAAGTTTCCAATTTTTAAAATTTTTAAATTTTTTTTTTTTTTTTGGTTTGGCCTTGATGATCACGTTTTTCTAATAATTGAGAGATGAATTATGTATAAGGTATATTATATTTTAATTCCATGGGTGTTTGCAATGAGGTTATTGAAATTGATAACAAAGTGGTGGTCTTCATCATTATCTCTCTGTTCCATAATACAATGTGATTAGGTATTAATTAATGAATAATATATATAATTAATGCTGCAGTTTTTCTTTGCCGTTTTCTGGCTTCATTTGTTTCATGACAGCTTACCAACCCTCTCAACTCTTTTTTATTTTATTTTTAATTAATTATTTTCTCAAGGATAACCCAAAGTTGAACTTTACAACCTATACTAGTTAAGAAGGGGTTTAATCATGCTTTCAAACATTATTAATGTTTCGTTCATTTCACCGATTCGAGTTTTCAGTTTTAAGTTTTTACAGTAAAAAACTATCAAAAAATATCACATCTAATTTTTTTTTACTACAGTGAAAAGCTCTCAAAAAATATTACATCTCAGTTCAAATTGAAAACTCGAATCCGCAAAGTGAACGATGCAGCCTTTATTGTTTCCTCAATACTATTGCTTCGCTTTGTTAATTAATTTCAAATTGTTTTTTGTACTTTATATTTTTATGAGTTGACCACTTGTTTATATATATATATATATATTTTTTTTTTTTTTTTCAAAAATTGAAAACAGTGCATGTGAAAGATGAAAGATGAAGTCGACAGAAAAAGAGAGAAGAATACATATATAGGTCTCGTTCATTTTACCGATTCGAGTTTAAAAGTGTAACATCATTTTACCGATTCGAGTTTAAAAGTTTTGTTACAGTAAAAAGTTTTTAAAAATAGTCACATTTATTTTTTTTTGCTACAGTAAAATACTCACATAAAGTCACATCTCAACTCGAATTAAAAATTTAAATTAACAAACTAAACTAAATAGGTCTATAGTCATTTTAGTGTTTTTTTTCCTTTTATAATATATATATTATAATAGATTAAAGTGAGAACGTGAAGAGACCGACCATTTTATTATGTGTGTCATATACAAGTTATTTAAAATAGTAAATGGTTAATGGAGCATCTAATCTAATTTGTGACAAAGCATGTGCTCGTTCTTGTATGTGCCTTGTGTTGCGCTATTTGCATGCTTGTCTAAATGTGCGTGCAAATGATTAAATGTCGATGGATAATACAAAAGAATTTTTTTTTGGGGTGGAATTGGGCCCAAAAAAAAAATTCTCAAATAAGTATTATTACATAAATGTAGATTGTTAAATTTCATTAATATTTCCATTAGGTTTGTATATACTTTTTAGTTATTACACAATTTTGACTTTAGAACTCCATTCATTTCACCGATTCGAGTTTTGTTTCAGAAACAGTCACATTTAATTTTTTTGTTATAGTAAAAAACTCTCACGAAAAGACACATCTCAACTCGAATTAAAAACTCGAATTAGCGAATTAAAAATGCCCTAAATATTGATAAGTTTTACGAAAAATAGTAGTTTATTCACTATTCCTCTAAGTAATTTGTATAATGTGGAACATTGTGTCATAACGATAAAAATATGCAGAACTGATAAAATTTAACATAGATTAGATGGTATCAAAGGATATTATATATTATGAACTGAATTTTGTTTTACATGGAAATAAAAATGACAGGTGTGACAGAATATTGTGGAAGGGAGATGGGATGAAGCAAATGTGGTACGTGCGAGGAGAGTCCAAGTTCTCAGACCACAGACCAGTTTATTCACTATTTCATGTCCAAACAAACTCCTCTAATAATTATAACCCTAGCAGTAGTAATAATAATAATAATAACAATACTTCTTCTTCGAATATGCTTAAAAACAAAACAAATTACATGACATTATTGCACGCCCCAAAATCAAATGGTGGTGCATTGGCGTTGCCTTTGGGAGTTGCCAAAGTGCAGGCTGAGGAGCTTTTACCTTCAGTGAACATGACCACCTTCTCATAACGACTATTTTCTCTCTCCTCTCTCTCTCTCTCTCTCACTAGATCTGACAGACAGAACATGTACAACCTTTGATGAAACACCAAAATGACACAACTCAGCAGCCTTTTTTCCTTAAACCTGACTGAGCTCTTTCTTGAGTTTTTTTTTTTCAAAATGTTGGAAGAGAAACACTTGTGATGATGATGATCTGGTGATATTGGACATTGGGTTCCTAAAGCAAAACAACTGCAAAATCCCTGGCCCTTTTTTTTTTTACTTAATCTGAGTCAAGCGTATTTATATATTTTGGGTCGACAAATAGGTCAATTGTAATTTATTTATTTTGGGGGGACAAATAGTTCAATTGTAATTAAGAAGGGTAGCTTTTAAAAAGAAATTTTAGGCCCGTTTGGTTTTAAATTAGTAATTTTTAATTTTGGTATTTGAAATTTAAATTTTTTATGAGAATCACACATTGTAGCAGAATCAAAACTATGAGTTTAAATACAAATGCAGTAAATAAGCGAGTCATTTGTATTAAGGGGATTTCTTTGGTAGGATGAGGAAAAGAAAAAGGTTCTTTTAGTACTGTATTGTTTTGAACTGTTAGATCTTTATTAAGTTTTATCGGTTTTAAAGTGAATTTTTTTATTCTAATGTAATTTTAGTATGATCTGACACATACTCTATCAAATGTGATTTTAGTATGATCTGACATGCATAAACATATAGTGTACCAGACATATTCTATCATAGGAAGTTCCTCTTGAAAAAACAAAAAAAAAACAAAAAAAAAAACTTTGGAGCTCTAAAGGATGCTGGTAAATGTTTTTGTAATGTTTTTTTATTAGTGGAATATAATTTCATTCAGAATTCCTAGTAATGCTTGCATTAAACTATTCTATTTGTTTTTAAGGACTTTTGGTAATCCACTTGTGCATATGTCAAATTTAAACTTTGAATAAATGACCTGCTTTTGGAATGAAATGTAACAAACAATGCAATTTAAGCACGACATAAATACCTATAATACTAGTACCAATTCTAAGAACTGTCAAAAATGTTATTTTGTTATATAAAAACTGTTTTTTTTATTAGTGGACTTTTTCTTTCACGTTGAGCATGTTTTTTAATTTGCTTATTGCACATTGTAATATTTTTCACTTTACAAATAATATCAAAAATAATCTTTTACAATACCATTCAATGATAAAAAAAGTAATTTACGAATAATATTTTATATTTCCTTTCAATTTAACTTTAAATACCAAATAAGAGAAAATAAGATCATTTTCTTTTTTTCTTCTCATACTAAACAATATAAAAAAATTAATTTTCTTTCATCATTACTATTTTCTATCACTTTTATATTTTCTTTCTATCCTATTTTCTCTCTTTCTTATCAAACCTAGCATTAGTGAACACGAGAAAGTAAAAAAAAATGAAAACATCAAAGGAAGAATGGGCGACGGCCAATGAAAGAGAGCAAAGGAGAGAACACCGAAGGAGTAACATAGACTCAATTTATTTTATCAATTTAAATTTTATTATAATAAAAAATTTAAAAAAATAATTATATTTAATTTTTTTATTATAATAAAAAATTTTAATATAAAATTATATTTTAATTTAAATACACAAACTAAACGTTAGGACTCCACCAGGCAGGATATGACCAGAAGCACCGAACGAAGAAAATTGAAAAAAGGAAAAGGAGCAGAGGCAAAACGGAAAAATCAACTCGCGAGAATCAAAAAGATCAAGCAACGAAAAGAACAAATAAGAAGGGGAAAAGCACAAAGCGAGTATTCCACTGTAAAGAGAACATTGAATTGGGTAGAGTAATCTAGAGGTTTCTTTCTTTCATTTTATTAATTTAAATTTTTATAGTAAAATTTTTTTAAAAAATGTCACATTTAATTTTTTTTGTTATAATAAAAAACTTTAAAAAAATATCACATTATAATTCAAATTAAAAATTTGAATCTGTAAAGTGAACTGAATGACACTTATGCTTCGTTCATTTCACCAATTTAAATTTTTAATTTAAATTTTTTACATTATAAAATTATCAAAAAATATCACATCTAATTTTTTTTATTATAATAAAATTTTTTTAAAAAATATCACATTTTAATTTAAATTAAAAACTCAAATTTATAAAGTGAACGAGGCCATAATTCTCAATTATATTGAAAATTGTCCACGTGTTCGACGTTCGACAGTGATGCGAATCCATCAAATGTAGTCGTGCAAGCCACCACCTAATTCTCAATTCTCAAGTACACTTGTGAAAAACTTCTCCACTCTCTCTCCTTATAAAATAACACCAATAAGATATTTTTATTTAAAAAGAAAAAAGAAAAGAAAAAGAGCAAAAAGCAAAGTACTCTTGGAATCCAGCTCCATTTCCTTAGATCTCCCAAACCCATCTCGCTTTTTCTTCCGCACAATCTCCGACGTACTTACAACCGGAGAGAAAAGTTTCCCAACATCCCCAACACCCAAACCCATCAACAGATCTTACGTTACTCTCCAAAGGTGTTTGCTTTTTCTGATTTTACATATGAGTTTTTCCTTTTAGGGTTCTTCTCTCTTTCTCATTGTTTTCCTTTTAGCTGCTCAGTGGTCTCCTTTTGGTTTCCACTCATAAAATAGACAAGGAAAGAAAACCAAGTTTTTTGTTTTCTAAAACTGAAAGAAAAGGTAGAATCTTGTTTGAACTGTGGAATTTGCTAGACTGCATTTTGGAAGTAAAGGCCGTCATTGCATTTGAAAGTTTTTGTTGTTGTTTTAAGTGGTTTTTTTTTTTCTTCTGTTTGAGATTAATATTTTGCATATAAATACACATGTATATGCATATGTATACTTATATAAATATAGTATATTTTTTCTTTTTGTGTGTGTTTGGCAGGTGAGTTTAAGTTTGCAATCTGTGGAAAAGCTTATTCTGATATTGGACTATGCCTTGGGAGATATTGATTTGAAGTAAATAAAGTGCTCAAAATGGTACCTTTCTTCATCTCTTATTCAATGTGGCATTATATGTTAGAGCTTTTTGTTTTTTTTTTTTTTGGGTTCCATTTTTCAGTGTAGTTATTTTTGCTTTTATGTGGTCGTAGTCTTACATCCAAATCTAGAAAAATTGGTTCCAGATCCTAATACATTTATCTCAGCTTTGTAAATCTACATTTTTTAGCTGTTGCTTTGTGACATGGTTTCGTTTTACTATAATTAGAGTAGCTAGTCTTTCCCAGTAACTTATTATTATTATTATTATTATTTTGGTCTCGTTATGAAAAACTGGCCATATAATGTGTGGACTTGTGTTTCTAAAGAAAATTTCACTTGCAACAAAATCTTTCCAGAATCAGGGCTTTTGGATGACAAAGGGTAGTGGTTGTGTAAATGATGGAGAGATGACATATGATAATTCATCGAGAATTGAGCAAAAGCGATCTTATCAGTGGTTCGCGGATGGTCCTGAGGTTGAGCTGTTTCCGAACAAGAAGCAGGCTGTAGTAGAGGTTCCAAATAACAATCCATTTCCAGGGATGTTAAGCTCCAATGCTTCTCCGTGGGGAACCGCTCCCAATTTTCCCCCATATCCTGGCCACGTTGCCGAACGGTTGTTTGAATCGGAGGCAGCAAGGAATGTGGGGTTTGATGAGAGAAACGTGTCGTCAATTCCTGCTGAGAAAATGAATGTGGTGAGAAAAGTTAATGAGGATCCATACGGGAAGAATTCCTCATTCGGTTTGTCTGTATCTAATGTTCTTGAAGATCCTAGTAGATCAGGTTTAACTTATGGTTTGGGGTTTAGAAAGGTCAAAGTGAGTGAGGTTAAGGACACTGAGAATCTCATGTCTGTATCTATGGGACAAGCTTATAGTAAAGGCAATGACAATACCTTGTCAATTTCTCATTCTTACAATAAGTTAGGCGAAAATTCTTTATCAATTTTAGGTGGTGATACTTTTGAGAGGACAGATAACGGTTTTATATCAATGGGACAACCCTTTATCAAGGGTGATGGAAGCATATCGATAGATCAAACATTCAAGGAGAACAACCATACCATATCAGCTGATCAGACATTCAGTAAGAGCGTTAATGGTAGCATATCGACTACTAGTAGTCTCGTCTATGGTAAGGTGCAAGAGAGTACCGTGTTGCCAAGTCACGCCTTAAACAAGGGTGACGACAATGTGACATCAATTGGTCACTCTTATAACAAGGGAGAGAGTACCATCATATCATTTGGAGGGTGTGATGATGATTATGGTGATGATGCGAATGCGTTGGAAAGGCTCATGTCCACTTATGAAATGCTGATGGGTAAGACGTCGGTTCTAAAGACAGAGGAAGTGATTGAGAAGGAGTTGGTAAACTCTTTGAATGCTGATGCCCTTGTGAATGCTTCACCACATGTAACTTCTGCTTCAACCAAGAGTTTCTGCAAAAAGAAAGATGATCACAAAGTCTCTAAGAAGGCTTCGCCAAACACCTTCCCTCCAAATGTCCGGAGTTTGCTATCAACTGGAATGCTGGATGGAGTGCCTGTGAAGTACATTTCATGGTCGAGGGAGGTAAAGAAAAAAGAAAAAAAAAAAAAAAAAAACTTAATTCTTATGAATTCCTCTTTTGAATTAGCTTATGTTTTGGTGACATGTTTGACTCTTCTTCTGCGTGTTAGAAGGAGCTTCGTGCCGTGATAAAAGGTACCGGTTATTTGTGTGGCTGTCAGTCATGTAATTACTCCAAGGTAAGTGTTGTTTCATTTAGTTTATCTAGGGAAGTTTTGGTTCGAAGCTGTGGAGCCTGCGGATAATGGACTGATTTTGTAGGTGGTCAATGCGTTTGAGTTTGAGCACCATGCCTGTTGCAAGACAAAGCATCCGAATAATCACATTTACTTTGACAATGGAAAAACCATCTATGGCATAGTTCAAGAACTCAGAAGCACACCCCAACATATGTTGTTTGATGTGCTTCAGACCATTACCGGTTCGCCTATTAATCAGAAGTCCTTCTGTACTTGGAAAGGTTGTTCAGATTTGCTGATCATCTACACTGTTTTATGCTTATGATCTCGATTTAAACATTTTGAAAGTCAAAACATTTTTATGTATCTTGGTCTCAATTTTGTGCTTACGTTTTCTCTTTACAGAATCCTTTATGGCTGCAACTCGTGAACTTCAGCGCATATATGGAACCATGGATGAGGGAAAGCAATTGTCGTAACCGAGTTTATGCGAATCGGTAAGGCGGGATCATCTTTGTTTTGTGTATAGAAGCTTACCTCTTTTTTGCCTATACCTTGTAACTATTAATGGGGATAGAAATTAGAAACTACCCTCTTGAGGGCTTTTTGGTGCCTGTTTGTTTTTAAGGTATAGCGGAATTAGTATGAGGTCAACCTTTACACTTAGAATAGAACATTATGGAAATTTTTGAACGGAAAGGGAATTTTTTATTTCTCTTGATACTGAAAATTATGGAAATTTTTGTGATGGCTTTGTGTTTTGTTGAAGCTAATCATTGTCAAACCACAAGTACCCATCTGATTTCTCTGCCTTGTTCTGATTATTGAGAAGTGACCAGGCTGTATTACCTATATATTCATGGGTTTTTGGTGCTTTTGATGCCTTCAACTTTTCACTTGACAAATTACTCCTTGGAAGTATTAAAGTATTGCACAGTATATGAATCCGTGACAATTGTAAAATTTGGATGGAAATGTCTTATGCGATTGTGTTTTGTTGTCATCCAATATTTCTGCTCTTAAAACAAGCTTACATGACTCGTATGCAATAATTTTTGGTTCAAATTTTAACAACCGTCATTAATTTTGGGGTTTGAGCAATTTACAACTTGACAAAAACAAAAACAAAAATAAAAAATAAAAAAGCAAAAACAAAAAAAAAATCCCAAAATTTAAACTTGAGCAAGTTGAACTGTATGCTTAAAGTAGAGATGCAACTATCGGCAGAGGTTCGTGGGCACAGTGTTGGGTTAGCATGACACGACACTGTTTAAGACATGATCTACACCATTAATATTAGTGGGCTGGACTGACCCGACATGTCTCGACTCATGAAAGTATAAATTCATGGGTCAAATCAGGCTTGGGCCGGCCCATTGTCCGTCTAGCCCACGATGGGCCGGCCATCCAAGGTCATTTTGATCCAAACTTCTAATATGTATATACACAATACATATATATATTTTTTATAAAATGTTTAGTATTTACTATATACTTTTGTTATATCTAATCTAATACATAATATTTATATATACAATATATATCTAACATTATAGCAATGTTCACCTGTGATCTTGGATATTTGTGATACTAGTACGTTGAATTATGAATAATATTTATTTTATTTTTATTTTTATGTGTTTTTGTTTGTTTAATTTTTATTTACTAATTTTGTAAACATTTTATGTGTAATTATCCTGGCGGTACTCTTTTATTCTTATCTAGGTTTTGTTGCATTAGGTAAATATCTTAAATTTTTTTTTAATGAGACAGACATAAATAAAATATTTCTATTGACTATTTAAATTTTTATATTTGTTAACTTATTCAGAAATTTAAAAGCAAATATAAAAAAACAAAAAACAAAAAAATTGGCAAAATACATGTTAAGTTGGGCTGGTACATATAAATCCGTGGTGGGCCCAGATGGGCAACCCATCATGATTCATAAATGGGCTCACATTGCTCAGCTGGGCCCACAAAAATTAGCCCATAAAATGAGCTAAGTTGAGGATTGGTCTCTGGGTCGGTTGCATGGCCTACCAAAATAGTGGGCTGAGCCGGCCCAATCTACGGCCCGTATGGGCTTAAAGAAAAAAATGCCAGGCCTGTCCTGGCCAGCTGGCCCATTCTTGAATCCCTAGCCTAAAGTAAATGGAAATGCAATTATGATATTGATGGCAAATAAGAGTCAAATGATGTAGTTGACCAAAAGACTTGGTCAAATGGGTTCAATCTATGAACAAATACAAATTCAGATACACAGCTGGTTTAGATTGAAGCCAAGTACGAAAAAAACAAGATCAACCGAAATGCTACTTCAAAAAGTCTAAATCTATCTTAAATTAGTTTATATTTAGGAGAAATTAAAAAAAAAAAAAGGATATCAGATCAACGGAAGAAGTGGTGATCATGATTTGTTTATTTGTAGTTCAATAGCACTGGCAGATGGATTAATAGTGACCACTTGATGATTCGAATCTGGGTCTGAGATGTGCTTAGACTCCTGTGATATTGGCTCATCCAGGCTTGTCGTTGAGGATTTGTAGTCTTTGCTTTTACCCCACACAACAAGGTACAACCCCACAATTATGATAGTAGCGCCAATTACCCTGCAACAGGACCAATTCAATTTTAATTCATATATACGTATATACATATACGTATGTATAAATGTTCTATCTAGGGTCCTCTGGGGACCACACTTTCATGTAAAATGCAGCAATAAGAAATATAACATTACATTAATTCAACAAAACGCTGACTATATATAGTTGTAATGTCAAGAAAATTTATACTAAGTTTGGTAGATGGATCTAGAATTATGATTCTAGATCCTAGTTCAGAATCAGTATTTGTTTACAGTGATTCTGAATCACGTTGACACTTATGATATTAAAACTACTCTCCCTAAATCATGATTCTGATTTCATAATCATGATTAGAATCATTATAGTTTGTATCCTCGTACCAAACAAACTTTTAGTTATTCGGACTCAACAACATCGGTATTACATTGAATAAGAATTATATTACCTTTCTCACTTTTATATGTTATGTTGAAGTACGGTCCTTCAAAAAAAACATATATACGTAGGATATTTTCAATTTTAATTCTGGTTCTTACAAATAGAAGTTCAGTCATAAAAAACTATGACTAATTCACATAATTTCCATAAAAAAATTTTATGGTTTAGGCATTGAAGAAGTGAGTTAGGGGATTAGAAAAAGAGACCTGCCAAGATAGAGCTGCTCAGCCAAAAATAAGGAGCCCATAATTGCAACAATAACCATGCACAGCGGACAAAAAGCTGTCACGAAAACAGGGCCTCTGTCTCTCATAATAACTCCTTGAATATAATAAGCTAGTCCTGAACACACTACGCCCTGCACATAATAATGTTAAATCAATAACATATATTTATATATGGGCAGTTTTAGATTTACAGATTTTCATCGAGTTTTGTTAAATTTACGTATATTTTTTACTATAATATAACTTTTACGTAATCTGACGTTTAGAATTGTGCAGTATCAGTCTTTTTACGTAATCTGACGTTTAGAATTGTGCAGTATCGGTAATAGTAATTATTATTTTATCTTACACTATAGAGAGCTGCCATTAGTTTGGTGTCCCATTTGAGAGACCAAACAGAAGCATTTCCTCTTTCCATGACCAAAGCCACCGCGGTCCCCTCCAGCGTGCCCAACAGGCATATCCAAGCCGTAAGCGAGAGCTCAGCGGGGTACGTTTTTAGTGTGATTGCCTGCATTAAATAACGGAGTTAGATTTTGTGTGTGTGTGTGTGTGTGTGGGCTATAATACAATGTAACATAAGAGAATATCTTATTGAGTAAGAACATAGTTATAAATTTTTTTTATTTAGTAAGCACACAATTATAAATTCTCTTTTTAATTGATGGTGGGCGTTTGGTTCATAGATTCAGAACCATTCTCGTTTTACATGTGTTTTTTTTAGAGAAAATATTATAGCGAATCACGAACTATGATTCAAATCATGACACAAACCTCCCTTCCAAACGCATAAGAATGGAAAAATAAGCCAAAGTTGGGGAGAAAAAAATTAGCTACCTGTAGAATCATGAAACAAGCCCAGCTAAAGCAGCCAACCGTGATCATCAAGGAACCCTTTATAGAATGCGAAAGACTTATCCCGCCCGATCGAGCTTCGTCGACACGGGTTCCTCTTGTCCAAAACAAGTCCAAAATAGGGCCTTTCATCACTGTCATCACCATCGCTCCCGCAACCGTCGCTGTGGTCCCAACCACCTTTGCTTGGGACCGTATGCTCTTTATTTTTACTTTCTCAAGCCTATAAATCAAAAATAACAAATATAAAAATTAAATTTTACTTTTTTCTATTTTGGTACGTGTTATGATCAATAGAATAGTACCCAAGAATGCAGGCCATTACAAAGGTAATGGCCGGAAGAATATTAGTCATAGCAGCTGCAAAGGTTGCTGTTGTGTACTTCATTCCCATGAAATATAAGTTCTGGTCAATAACTGGCCTGACATGGGACAACAAAGTTATGACATGATTAATTGGATGAAATTATCAACAACGAAAAAAAAAAAGGAAAAGAAAAAAAAATACTTTCTAGAAGTTTAGAAAATTACTCTAGCAAGCTCAGGGCTACTATCTTTAAGAAAATTGGAAGTGTCATCTTTGGCCTTACTTTCCTGTCCAAGATCAAAATTTGGTAGGAAAAAAAAAAATCTTGTTAGTGATTAGTTTATATTTGTGTTGTGTTGCGTTCGTAGGTTTTTTTATTTTTATTTTTATAATGCATTTGTAAGTTTAGTGTAACAATAAATCCACGTCTATTTCAAGTGTATTGTGTTGTGTACTATCTAAGAAAAATGAGAGAGATGAACGGACTTGTCCAGAACGACCGCAAAAGGAGCAATGACGGCGGTGGCGACAGCATGGCGGTAGACGACGAGGACGTAATTGCTCATCCCGTGGTTTAGCGCGGCCTTGGACAGAACATCCATCCCTGCAAACCCGAATTGCAAGAACACAACACCGAGGAAAGGCTTTGATCTCTCAAACAATCTTACAAACTGAAGCTTCTTCATCATGCTCCACCTAAATTCGCTCACTATATTTCTACCCACTATTCAAACTATAAATACAAACAGCAAAAGGCATATGATGTTATTATGCCTTGTGGGTCTGTGGGATGGAATGTGTGGAAACCAACCTTGTGTTTATATAGAGAATTTCGTATACAAATATAAACACAACAAGTACATACACAATATGCCTTTATTAATATTAGGACTTGTTATTTTGGAGTTTAACTTGAGTATAATTCTTGAGTTGAATTTGAGTTATAACTTGAGTTGAACTTGTAACTTGAGTTTGTGTTTGGTTGTGTACATTTGAGTTATGGTTTGAGATAATAATCTTTTTGAGTTTGTGTTTGAGTGAGTCAAAACTTGAATTTGTATTTAGATAGTATTTTAATAAAAACTCAATGCTGATGAAAAATTTTAATAGGGTATATGAGTCGGGTTTTATTCGTCTTTTCGTTGTCAACGCATAGAAAAAAAATCATCTCAATCAGAATTAAAACGAAGAAGTTATAGAATTTTTAAGAATAGAAAAAACACTATTCATTAATTTGAGTTCGAGTTTCTGAACTCGAGTTAAAGGGAAAACTTGAACTCGAGTTTTAGTCCTAAACTCGAGTTTGAACTCGAGTTTAAACTCGAGTTTAAACTTAAAAGAATATGAATTCGAATAAAGTTGTAACGCGAGTTGTATTTTTTTGAGTTTTTCACTCAAAAGAACAAGCCCTTAGTCTCAATAATTACTTGAGTTTTGAGCTTAATGACTCATTAAAAATTCAATTAAGTAGAGGATTGCACTTTAACTCTTATGGTGGGCACCTCTCTATGAAGATTTTATGGTCAATAATTGATAATATTTGTGCCTGGGATTGAGCATATTCATAGAGTGTCGTCATTTGGGCCAAACTAAAGTCTCCATTATTATTTGCTTTCAGTTTTCTTTTTCACGAAGTGTTTGATGATAGTGCCTCCATTAATTTATTATTCACTACCTTTGCATGGTTCAGTGGAATCACACTTTAGTTGATTCTTGAGAGGTTGTTTAAGATAATTGCTTAGTTATACCATTGGCCATATGTTTGCATATTTATAAAATATCACTACAAGGTTACAAAAGAATTATGAAAGTTGAATATGTACGTCCTTCCTTGCTCATGAAAACTGATGTAAGATCCTAGAAGTTACGACTAATCGGAGAGGCACAATTAAACCCTTAAAATACCATCCAAAATCAAACTCGGAATTTCACTCTAAACACTACTTATTTAGGTAAGTATTTTCGAAAAGTCCTTTATAAATATATAGCGCGCTAAAAAGACGGGCCATACATTTTTTGAAGATACAAGAGTTTTGTGATATAATCAGAAATGCTTAAAAGATTAGAGGGCAAAAAGTTTTGCCAAATTATAATTGTTCCATATAGCAACACAACACAACACATGGATTAATTACGTCTATCTGCAAAAAAAAAAAAAAAAAAAAAAAAAGACCTTCAACAATTTCATAATCTTAGGCTTAGTTCACTTCGCGGATTCGAGTTTTCAATTCGAGTTGAGATGTGATTATTTTTAGAGCTTTTAACTGTAGCAGAAAAAGTTAGATGTGACATTTTCTGAGAGCTTTTAATTGTAAAAATATAAAATTGAAAACTTGAATCGATGAAATGAACGAGGGCCTAAAATGTTGAAGGTGACATGTAATGAAAGGTTGGATAAGAAAAAACTTATTAAGGTCAAAGCCAAGCTGAGGATTACTCAAATCCCACTATTCCTACTATAGTGCACTTATTGTGCTTTATGAATTATGATCAAACAAGAAGACATATAATTTTTGTAGTGGGATGACTCGATGAACAAGGGCCTCTATGCTCTTGAGTTCAAGAGCAGGAGTGACCCCGAAACAGCTTTATCATGTGTATGCAGTCCTATTTGGGTACTCAACCCAAATCCTATCTGGAACCCATTCTTGTGATTCTATGATATATGTACCGGGTCCATTAAAGTACTAAACTAAATCCTGTGAGCAGCTTTATAATATATGGTGTACTATTATTATTTAGCACGATCAGTGGTGCATCACTACATATGTATCAGTAAAATAAAACTGTTACATGATAAAATTTAGAAAAAGAAAAAAAGGATTGGATCTTAACAATTCAATATATTATCAGTTGTACAATGATCGCATCACAAATGATGATAAAACAACATTTTTATCATATTTTTGTATTGTTATTCCGATAAGGCGAATGTGATATGGCACTCAAAATATATGCTCCTCTTAGGATCTCAAGATTATGGAATTGTGAAACATGCAATTCTGAATATATCCTATACCTAAAATTCCACAGAATTGGGAATTCAGAGATGACATATATTCACATATATAACATGAGGCCAATTGAAGAGAAAAGGAAGGGAATCAAGAGAGAAATGGTATGAAGAAACAGCATGAGTAGTGTTGAGCTAAAAGGGCAGAAAAATTAATGGAATTATATCCACAACAAAAGAAGTCGTAAAGAGATTCCTGCTTGATATGTAAAGAGAGAGTGATTGGTGACGCATCAAACATTTACCATATATTGTCTTCTTAATTAGTAAAAAAAGAGAAGAGACCACTAATATTCATTATTGAACAATAAGATTATATGATATGATATGAGAGGTGGGACATTCTCAAATGTGGCCTTTGATGTGTTGTGTACTTTTCAGGATTTGTGGTGGTTAAAACTATTAAGTAGCTCCTTCACTTCTAAAATAATTAATGGCATGTTTACTTACCATGATTGAAGAATGAGAGTGGGAAATGAAAGTCAATCCCGTATTTACTTGCTCTTTTTTATTCTGGAATGGGAGTGAGATTGGTGGGCCCCACTCAAATTTAGGATTGAGAAATGGGATTGTCACTCATATGTCCCCCCTTGGGATTGAGACTCATATTCCTAATATTAATATTAATTTACTATTATACCCTTATTTTACTTATAAATACACAATTAAAAATAAAATTCAAAAAATAATAAATGCAACATATATTTATTATTTTATTTGCCTAATATTATAATATTAGCATAATTATTGTTAACTTTAATATAATAAATATGTACTTTATTTTTAATAAATTAATAATATATTTTATTTTTAACACTATTTTTTATTTTTATTTAAATTTTATTTTTAAATTTTAAATAGTTGTACAATTTATATTTATTATTTTAGTACCCAATTATTACACAAAATATTTTAATTATGATTAATTCTAATATAATAAGTACACTATATTTTTTAAATTGAAAATATCAAATTGATTTAAAGGGTATATTAGTACTTTTATACTTTTTCATTCCGATTCTGGGTGTAAGTAAACGTATGAATGAGATTTGGAATGACTCCGATTCTGAATCCTATCACTAAGTAAACAGCTTATTCTGACTCCGATTCCTCACTCCGAATCTTACCCACTCCGAATCTTGCCCACTATGATTCGTGCTCATTCCGATTACGTGTAGGTAAACATACCATAAGTGTTTTGTTCTTTTAAATTCTTTTAGTATAAGAAAGAAATGTTAGCATCACTTATTCTATCATTCTTTTTGTCACTCTCAGTATTTATTGTTTGATACGTGAACTTTACTAACATGATATATTATTGTTTAACCAAAAAATGAAATAGTAGAGTTCACATATCAAATAATTAATGCAGAAAATGATAAATAGAGTGACAGAAAGAGTGATATTAGCATTTCTCTAAACAGTTTGCTAAATGCTCTGATTGTTCAAGTTTTTGGATAAAACTTGATAAATATTAGTTTCCAAATATATGCTATTTGCTTAGTGCTGAAATGACAGCCATAGAACAAGGAATAATCACGCTCCACAAAGGTCTACTCTATCATAGGCAATACAAGTTCTGTATCACTATTGGTGATCATTATATAACACATTTTTAATTAATTAGAAATTCTAACTCGGGTACCCATTAATTATGACATAATATCTTGCAAAGTTTTACACGCTAATCTCAAACTGGTTAAAAGAAAAATTCACCATCACGACTAATTATGCTAGCATTTTATATCACTAATGCATAATCTCTTTTGCTCATTACTTTATGATTGAATTATTAACCAAATCTCATTTCATGATATTTCTGCTGATGCTCTTTTGTGCTTAATTAAGGCAAGATATAATAATAATAATAATAATAATAATAAAATTCATTATCAACTTAGTATATATTTTGATTATTAGAACAAAAGATGATATAAAGAGGATTAAGACCTCCCTACAAGAATATTATTATATCCCAATTCTTGAACTTGAAAAGCTTGCATTAATTTTGGTGAAACACGCAACTCAGAAAAGAGTTCCACTATTCCAAAAATGTGAAAACCGGGTATTAAACTGGGGGACACTTCCCTTTTTAGCTTTTGCAAAATTTGATTGGATGAAAATCAAACGACTTAAAATTGAAAAAACAATGGACTACTCTACTATATTTTTTTATTAGCATTTCTATTTTTGTATATTTGCATGAGAAGGACAAGCATTAGTAGTAGCATTATTATGGGCAAGTTTTCCACTTCTCTCCAATTGATGATGATCTACCTCTTTCAACTTTCGTATAGATAAGGGAAGACTTCTTTTCTTGTTCATTTGGCTAAAAATTCCCAAAAATGTTAGTAGATAGGAATCCCTATGACATAACTTGCAAATAAAACTATGTAAAAAACAAAGGCCGTGTTTAGAATTGATCTCGTTTTTTGAGAAAAAAAAATGAAAACGTTTCCAAAACGGCTTTTGACGCAATAAAAACAAAAAACGGAAATGAAAACGATTTTTTGATTTAGTGTAAAATGAAAGAGAAATAAAAAATGACTTTTAGTCGTTTTTCATTTTTTATTTTCGTTTTCTCCTCGAGCACAGAGAGAGAGAGATTAATTGATTTTTTTATACTGAAAATAATCTTTTGAAAAAACTACCAAAGATAATTTCAAAAATAATTTCTATCTGAAATTGAAAACGTTTTCATTTTCATTTTCATATAAAAAATAATCAGTTCCAAACGAGCCCAAACTTTCGCACCATGACATTACTTGAACTATTATTAAAACAATCCAAAGCGTCTTGGATAAAAGGTTAGCTAAAACAAGTTTATTGACGCACATCTAGGTCATCAGTGATTTTTCCCAATAGATATTGTTGGTTGAATAACATCATTTTGTTAGCAAACCAATAGAGTCGCGTTATTAAAGTTTTTCCTATTCTTTATCTTATTGGTCCTTTCTTTCTTTCTTCTTTTTTCTGTTTGTTTTTATCTTCTTTTTTTTTCCCCCTCTTTTTCAGGTGGGGTTTTGAGGTTATTGCATGGATCATGGATGGATACTTAGTAGGCATTTTAAGGACAAAAGCCACACCATTCAGCTTTCTTCTTTGACCAACCTTTTTCTCTCTTTTGTTTCTTTGTGTGTGTGCGCGTGTGCTCTTTCTTCTTTTCTTCTTTTCTTTTTCCTCTCTCAGTGACCTCGAATGGCTTTGAGTTTGTCATCCACAATATGGCTCAAAAGAATAGTAAAATGACTTTTAGCATCGATCGATCAAAATGTCATTCATTCTTCTTCTCACGAGATGTGTTCACGGTTCGACTCTGACTCCATAATTTTATTCTTAGGATTCTACTTGACCGATAGACATTGCAGCATTAAACTTCTTGTAAGAGTGAAAGCTTAGCATATTTTTCTGAGTAAACATTGTGTTAGGTCATTTCGATTTCTTTAGAAGTTCCCGAAATTTCAGTGACTAAAGGGATTAGAGATGATATAAAAATAATAATTCCCTTTTCTTGTATTTAAGAAAAAAAAAAAAAAAAAAAAGGATCTATAGCAACATCTCTAGCTTTGTCGGAAAGTGATGACTATGTATTAGTAAAGCACCTTTCTATAGGATAATCAACCATCAAATTGTAACAAAGCGGTTCTCTCTTCTTGATTTGTTGGGATTCGCTTTCTCTTCCGTTTGTTGTCTTTTGTTTCCTTCTCATTATTGGTCGAGTCATTTGCTTTTTCTTGCCCCTTAACCCTTGTGTTGTTCTCATGTTGAATGAGAGAAATTTTTTAAAGTTCTAAATCGGTGCGAAAATCCGTCACTAAAAACTAATCAAACAACCACGAGTCAAGGCTCAAGCCTATTAGTTTGTTTTATAGTTTTTGGTGACGTTTTCTCTTGGCACCACCAAAAGCAAGCAAAGTTCTTGTTAATGTAAACCAGTGCTGAATTTTCAGGCACGGCGGGCAGGCCCCTCTCGCCGCCCGAAAATGCTTTTCTTCGGGCATGGGCTCGGGTAGCCCGAAAAGAGTAAGCCCCCCGACAGCCCGCCGCTGTGGAGAAGCCGTCCCCCGCCGTTTGCCGGATTTTTTTTAAATTTTCCGGCAATACCCGAAGCTGCCCGAATTTGTGCCCGAATTTTTTGTGACCGTTGCCCGAATTTTGCCCCGTGCCCGAAAAATGCCTGATTTTTTTTTTTTACCGTTAGCCCGAAAAATGCCCGAATTTTGAAAAAAAAACGGTCTTTTGCCCGAACCCGAACCCGAACCCGAATTTTGCCTGAATTTTTGAACCCAACGGTCAGATTTTGTGCCGTTGCCCGACCTGCCCAATTTTTGCCCGAACTGCCCGAAAATTTTGTAGCCGTTGGACCTGAATTTTTGGGGGAAAATTTTTTTTTTTCAACCCAAAAATTTTCCTATAAATACCCCCTCCCCCCAACCATTTTCCTCACCCCAAAACTCTCATTCTCTCTCAATTTCTCTTAATCTCTCTCAAATCTCTCTTAATCTCGCTTAAATCTCTCTCGAATCTCGATCTCTCTTAAGCTCTCTCAAAACGCTCTTAATCTATCTTATTTTTCATAATGGCTTTTTCTGGTTATGGTGGTGATATTCCCATTGATGCCCAATTCAACATCGAAGAAAGGCAATTTCCTAATGTTTTTCAATCGCAAACTATGGAAAGAGTTGTGATCAAACTGCAAATCCGACTCCTGGTGGACGTACTAGAGGTCGGGGACGCAATAGTGGTGGCACAAGTGGCCGGGGGGGGGAGGCAAGCGGGAGGGCTAGTGCAAGTGTTGCAAGTTCTAAGAAGAAATGCAAGCGCACCTCAGCAGTTTGGGAGCACTTCAACACATTCGAGGACGTCGACAATAACGGTAACATTAAATATGTAGCTCAATGTAAGTATTGTGGTGAGAAATTACAAGGTAACACTATTCATGGCACTACACACTTAAGAAGGCCCTCTGAAAAGTGTCTTCAAAAGCAAGGAGGCGGAGATCAGCTCCGCCAAACGCACTTATCGTTGGACCGCCAAACCGGCGGTCTAAGCACGTGGAAATACGATCCGCAAGTGGACCGTATGGAAATGGCACGATTAATAGCCACATTAGATCAACCACTAAGTTTTCCTGAACAAAGAAATTGGCAACGTTATATTAAAATTGTACATAATCCTAATGCACAATTTTGTTCTAGATCTACTCTTAGGAAAGATGCATTAAAATTATATAAACAAGAAAATGAAGCATTAATCAACCTTCTACACTCTACTAGTGGTTGCGTTGCGTTAACGGCGGATATTTGGCCCGCCGTTGCCAACAAGAATTATTTAGCTGTAACCGGACATTATTATAAAGGTTTTGATTTGGATAAGAGAATCTTAGGTTTCAAATGTGTTATAAGATCACATACTGCCAATTTAATATATAACACAATTTTATCTGTTATTGATGAATATAGTTTAAGAGATAGAATAATGGCCATAACATTAGATAATGCAACTACGAATACTAAAGCAATAGAACTTTTTGAAAATGATTTAAGTTTATTCGGTAATAATGATATTTTCCACCAACGTTGTGCATGTCATATAATTAATTTAATAGTAAAGTCCGGTTTAAAATCAATGTCAGGTCATATTAAAAGAATTAGAGATAACATTGCTTGGATTCAAGGTAGTAATCAAAGAATACAAGATTGGTTTAGATTTCTACATGCATGTAATCAAAATCTTAGAGCATTAGCCTTAGATATGCCCATAAGATGGAACTCCACTTACATAATGCTTGAACAATGCATCCCCTATAAAGATGTTATAACAAATTATATTAGTGTAAAATTAGGAACATGATTTATAGATGAAACTGATTGACAAATTGCTGAACTTTTGTATAACTTTTTAGGTAGATTTCATGAAGTTACCTTAAAGCTTAGTGGAACTTATTACCCAACTTCACCATTAGCATTAGGAGAACTTTTAAGAATGTCTATTTTATTTAGTGAATTTAGGACACATGAAGTTTTAGGAGTTCCTATCGCCTCTATGGAAAAAAAATTTAAAAAATATTGGTCTAAATTACCCATATTGTATGGTTTCGGTGTTATTTTTGAAACTAGATTAAAATTAGAAGGTTTAGAAAGTGGATTAGATAACTTAGGTGAATTTTTAGCTATAGACACTACTGACCAGTTTCCTATTATAAAGGAAAAAATATATTCTCTATATATCTCTTACGAAAGTAGGTTTAGAAACACACCTCGTGTTGAACAACCGCAACAACGAGACGACAATCCGCATTCATTCTTGAATGTTTTCGGGTTGTCTAAGAAGAAGAAGAAGACGACGACGACGAGTCAAGGTCAAGAAGAATCTGGGAGTGGAAGTGGATCTTCATCAAGAGGTGGCGACGGATTCAACGAGTTAATGGCGTACCTGAGTGAGGGCTTAGTTGTAGACAGTAATGAGGTGTTTGATTTGATTGAGTGGTGGAGGGCACGAGCATTAACTTGGCCGATCCTAACACGACTGGCAATGGATATTTTTTCAATCCCGGTCTCCACTGTTGCAGCCGAACAAGCATTCAGTACAACCGGCCGAATACTTGAAGAACGGAGAAACGCATTGCAGCAGGATATTGTTGAAGCTTTGGTGTGCATCAAGGATTGGGACCGTTCCGACCAACGCTTATACGATACAATCTCACCGGCAAACCAAGAATGGATCAACGAATTTAATAGATTAACTTTTAATTTTCAAGATGATCATTCTGCTTCATCTTGATAATTTCTTTGTAAATATTTATTTACTTTGTAATTTCTAATTTGTATAGTGTTTATTGTAATCTTGTATAGACTTTGTAAGTTCATCAAATTTGTAATTCGTCCTACAATGATTGCACTCTTTTTTTCTTACCAAGTTTTTATCCTAATTGGGTTTTTCTTGGTAAGGTTTTTAATGAGGCAATCATAAATTACAAATTTAAAAATCAATGAAGAAGAAAATTTTTTTTATATAGTTCATTTGTGTGTTCAGTGTTCATTTCATATTTCAAATTATAATACACACATTGTAATTATACAAATACTTATTTCAACAACATAAAAATATAATATAAAAAAAAAATTGGGCAGCTGGTCGGGCATCGGGCAGCCCGACCGGGCACGGGCAGGCATCCTCTGCCCGAAACCCGTTCATGGTAATTTTCAGGTCAGGTCGGGCAGCCCAAAAATTCAGACAGATCAGGTTCGGTCATCGGGCAAAAATTCAGATTTTTCGGTGATCACGGACGGCCCATCCAAAATTTCAGCACTAATGTAAACCGTCGAGAACCCTATCAGTCACTTTATAAAAAGTTTAGAGACCGATGCAGTCGAAAAAACGCTATCAGAGACCAGTTATTAAGCTTGCTGGGAGAATTTTCCTAAAGGTGAAATCAGATGGAAACGCCGGAGACAATCGCCGACAGATATCATCTAAGCAAGCCACGCATTCAAAATCGGAATACCGAAAGACTGCTTGCAACCAGCTTGAATACCAAGAATGAGCGTAGTATGGAATAAGGGTAGTATATTCCTTTTCAAGCTCACAAGGTAAAACTTAAGAGAAAATCAACTAATATATAATTAATTTCACAAAATAGGAGGTCTATCTTTCACACCCAGAAGTAAATATGAAATAATAATGATAAGAGAAAAATACAAGGATCACTGACATAGTCCTAGCAAAATCAGTTTTTCCCCACTGGGATGGTTGTTTCGAAAAGTTACCCATAATCTCATCTTCGATATAGCTTTGCTTAAGAACCACAACAAGCTGATCTTTGAGCTGCTTGAGCAGACCCGGCTGCCAGGTCTGGTTGGTTAATCTTGATTGTCTGAGGCTGCAAACATCCAACAAAAGTAATGCTCAATATCTGACCAACTACACAAGGAAAAAATTCCCGGGCCCGCATTCTAATCCGGCACTATATTCCAAAAGAAAGATATCCTCATTTTATGTACAACTGCTGAGAAGCCTTCGGAGACAAACGCAATGAGAACCTCCAAACACGCGATAAAGAGGAATTTGTCATCTAAAAGGCCAGGTCTAACATTTGTATGTCAAGGATTTGGGAAGAATGTAGTCACATATTTTCACATGATAAGTTAAGGAAATTTTCTAAACAGAAATGAGATTACCAAGTCATAGATAAAAAGATGCTCCTATAGTTAGAGGAAAGGATGCAACAACTAGTAAGCTGAAATTTGCAAATAAGTCACATACCTCAGCCCTCGAATCAGTATCTGCAAGTCTTTGCTTGATATCCCTACCTATTGAAAAGAAAACCTCCTCCACGTTTAAATTTGTCTTTGCACTCTGTAATAGACAAAAATGCTTTCACATATTTAGAAAAGGAAAAATATTGTAACTAACTCCACCATCAGTAAGACAGTAACAACTCACAGTCTCGAAGAACTTAATGCCATATTCGTCAGCAAGAGCTTGGCCCTTCGAGGTGGGGACAGCCTGAAATAGAGGTACTTGTCAAGACAACATCAAGAGAATCACCTCATTACATAGCGCATAGCGCATAGACATTTAGAGACAGGGACAAACCCTTTTGCTTTCGTCCATATCAGCCTTGTTACCCACAAGGATCTTGTTGACATTGTCAGAGGCGTGTTGTTCGATGTTACGTATCCAATTCCTGATGTCTGGATACCAAGAGAAATCAGTTTCATAACCAGGTTTAGAAAAAGAAAAAATTTGAGAAAATTCACCATTGACAGACAGAAGCACGACCAAACCAACAAATTCCAGTACTGCAAATAATTTAGAACATAATGTCCTCCTTTAAACCAGAAGAGACTGTTCATTTCCATAGATCCAGTAGAATTAAATAATGACAACTATAAGCATTAAGCAGGAAATAGCTAATGAAGAGATTACTGTTAAAAGATGACTCGTCAGTGACATCATACACGAGCAAAATACCCATGGCTCCTCGGTAGTAAGCTGCAAATGATGGGAAAAAAATTCAGGAAAAGATTCAAAGCATTGAAAGATTGCAAAAGAAAAGATTCTACAAAGGAAGCAGATCTCAGGAGGCAACAAAGGAAGCGAACTTCTTCAAGATAATACCTATATCACAGGAAACAGGTTTGCAATTAAGCAATTCTTTTTTTTTCCCCTTCTTTTAACAAATATCAAGCTCATGTTTAATAGTCCGATACTAACCAGTTGTAATTGTCCGAAAACGCTCTTGACCAGCAGTATCCCAGATTTGCAATTTAATACGTTTTCCATCAAGCTCTATGGTCCTTATCTTGAAATCAATGCTGTTAAAGAAATTCGATCTTAGTGAGACCCGGACCAGTTTAAAAATAATTAAAAAAAAAGTCTTGGAAATACCTACCCTATGGTTGTAATAAAACTAGTTGTAAAGGACCCATCCGAGAAACGCAAAAGAAGGCAACTCTTACCCACACCTGCATAGAGTCATACAAGCCAGAAAATGAACAAAAATGAACTTGGTTTAGAACCAAAACAAGTAAAATACAGATAAAACAGATGAACATATGCATCTCATCTATGGGCGATATGTATTTGAAATCATGAATTATACATTAAGAAAAACACAATATCCCCCATCTAGGAATATCAGTCCAACTTTGTGACTCCTTAAGTTCAGACTTAAGAGTTCAGCCCCATTAATATTAAGTGCTGCCTATGGCTTAGTTTGAGATTGTTGTACTTTTGGAAGTTCTACTTTTACTTACGGCAAAACGAAAAGTAAAAACGGAAGTTGAAAGTTAAAAAATCTAGCTTCTCCAAGAAACCATAGAAGTGCATTAGTGTTTGTTCAAAGTACTTTTATCCACTAACACCAAACACATTACTTGTAGCGTGTTATGTGAAATGAACATTTGGGACCTCGGACCTCCAAAAGCAATATCCAACTAGCCCTATAAGTGGGAGACTATAAATTAACGTTGACGAACAAGCAATGCTTACATACACATTCTTTAACACTTGAATTCTATGAAAAGATGTCACCCGATGAACAATAATTTACACAAAATTACGACATAAACCACCAAAAAAAAATTGCTAACATCATCAAAATGTACAAATCAACACCCGCTAACAAGAAACAATTTCGAAAAGTGAGCTCTAAAACAAGGATTTACACAGATTGAAAGGCACTAATGTAAGAGATATTGTTCACCAAACTATAGTGTAGAAACAAGAGAGCTACAAACATACATTAAAGAGCAACTATGCATCACCATTTTGTGGCAGTAGGATATACCGTTTAGTTCGTTGATTCGAGTTGAGATGTGACTTTATGTGAGAGCTTTTTACTGTAGAAAAAAGTTAAATATGACTGTTTCTGATAGCTTTTTACCGTAGAAAAACTCAAATTCTAAACTCGAATCGGTGAAATGAACGGGAACAAACCTATTTGTCGCGTGACAAAAAGTGAAATTATTGGGCCCCACACTATTACGTGACGGTTTTGATGCACAGACACGTATGCAGATATTGCATCACATCACCAATTGAGATATTTAACATTTTTCTACATTTATAAAAAGCAGCATTTCTAATGCTATCTTAATAACAAACATAATTCGAACATTTCACAGAATAAATTAGGATATAGCAAATCAAAAACATTCAGATTTAAGAATTAGGGAAACAGCAAGCAAACGACATTCCGGAAAACCCCAAACATTATGTGCGAGAATTCATCTGGCATTATCAAAATATCATGAAATAAAAATAATTAAACACAAAATTCATCATCAAACAATAGGGACAAAAGATATACGGAAATCTAATAACAATAATGAATGTTTAACAGGAACAAGATCACATTTTTGGAGCACAAAAGGAAGAAAAGAAAAAGGCAAGGGCAGAAGAGTAAAATCGAACCGCTGTCGCCGATGAGGAGGAGCTTTATGAGGTAATCGTAATCGGCGCGGGCCCTCGCCGGCGGAGCAGCCATCGCCAGAATATCGCTGAATCGCCGCCACCAAAAAAATTTGAAAAACAAAATTAAAATTGATATTCATATAAAATTTGAAAAAGAAAAAAAAAAAAGGAAGAATCAGAGAGAATGAGAGAAGAGAGAAAAACCAGATGAGGAAGAGGAAGAGGAAGAGTGAGATCTAAGAAAAGGGAAGAGAGAAAGGAGAGGAGAGAGAGAGGAGAGAGGGAGGAGAGAGAAAGGAGAAGAGAGGAGGGAATTAGAGAAGAGTCGTTAGTCTCGTCCCTCTGCCGTTGAAATTTCGTAAAGGGCGAGCAAAGTTCAACCAGACACGCAGCAGAAAGACTTTCGTTTCATGTGAAAAAAAAAAAAAAAAAAAAAAAAAAATTGGTTGTCATTTGGGTAATTTGCACTCTACCCCCCTTAACTATGGTGTCGTTTTGCACTTTTAAATTTCATAGAAGAAATTTGACATATTGTTCCTCGTATATCTATTTTTCCTAAATAAAAATAAAAATAAAAAACTGTATATGTCTTGTTTTTTTTTTGAGAAAAATGTATATTTGGTATATGCAAACTCTTTTAAGAGAAAAGAAAGGAGGAAATTATGAGCTACGTCAATTTCTCAATGAGGAGAAGGATTCAAATTTTGAAGATACTTTAAATTTTTTTCTCATTTTATTGCTATATAATTAACTCTCAAAGTACGAAATCATAATTTTACCAAAATAATGAATTAATTTCCTGTTTTTGTCACGCCCCCAAACAGGAGTTAGTGACGTGGAGGCTTGTTTAAAAACTTAAATCTGTTTAAGAAAGTAATTAGCACGTAACCGTGCAAAAATTTAACTTTTCTAACTCCAAAGCATCCATGTATTTCCAAACAAGCCCATGCATTTATGATAAATTTAAATTCCCGAGAAGGGTGGTGGAATTTCCAACCAAACCAGTTTAAAACCACGTCCCTTGTATCATGTCAAAAATTCCCACAAGTGTTTAGCATACATGAATATAAACAAAAGTAAATGTGACATCAACCACAGTCTAGCAATATTTAAGTTTACAATCCATAATTTATACATGCCTTGAGATAAAGGATAAGAAGAAATACAACTCTTCGCTTCCCGAAGACAAATCCACGTCACCGGTAGTAGCTATCTACTCCGCACTACTCCTCGTGTCGCCTAGAGGGGTTTAATACATTTGAAAATAAGAAAACGTGAGCGAAAGGCCCAGTAGGATATAATTTTTATAAAACATAGTAAATAAAGGTACTCACGGTCCGAAGACATACACCCGAAACCGATCATCCTTTTTTGAAAAGGAAATACTCACATAGTAGAAAATATCTGTATAATGAAAGTGTGCAGCTCATCATACCACTGAGCAAGAAGTGGTAAAATGTCTGTCTAGTGAAAAGTGCAAAGCCATAGTTCCACTGAGCAAGAAGTGGATCCGTATGGGTTTCGGGACCTGCCCCCAAGGATGTGATTCCCACATCCCGATCTCTGAGGCCACCATGCTTTGTATCATTTCTTAAGATATTTCATTTTAAGATATGATACTCTTTAAAATCTCATTTCTAAAATCATTGGAAAACTTAATAGCATTCTCATGCTATTCCTTTAAAATCATTTTGTTTAAATATGTTTTGTTCCAAAATATTTTCATGGCCAAAATCATTTAAAGTGAGGCTAACAAGGATATAGACAAGAATATCCTACCTTTTGGATATCAAACTTATGGCTATCTTCACGTAGCCCTAGCTCCATTTGCCTTTGAAGCTCTAATTCCGATCGTGCCACTAACTTTGCCATCAAAATCAACAATTTAGAGTTTGATCTTTCTCACCAAACATTCTCGTTTAATTAGATGCAATTGTATCATATTAGTATGCCATAGCTTAAAATCAATATTCATAAATAACTCTTAATTCAAATCATGATTCTTTGACAATTGAGATTCATTTCAGAAAATTAAATGGAAACAAGAATTTATGTGGCTAATCCACTCATTTTGAGTTTTCAAATGAGGTTAGGTCAATCCCACATTGAGTTTCGGGGTCAAAACATGATTTTAGGACTGTTTAGGGTCGGGTTCAGTGGGAACCGGTCGACCAGTGACAGAGGAGTGTAACTCCACCGGTCGGCCGGTGGAGGGGTGACCGGTCGACCGGTGGGGAAGAGTTTCAGGGCCAGCCATGGCCGATCCGCGAGAAACAAAGCCAAATCCTACAATTTTGGGTTCGATTTCGACATATTCTCAAGGAAAATTCACAAATCCAGTTCCAAATCAACAACTGGGGTCCAAAGAATCAAAAACTCCCAATTTTCAGTCAAGGTTTCATCAAAATACATTCGAAATCCATTCGAGAATGAGATTTAAACCAACAATCACCAAACTCGACTAAAACGAGTTCCACAAGGCTAAATCTGAAAATCTAAAGTAAGTTTCAAAGAGTTTTACCTCGATCTAAGCTTTGATGTTGAAAACCTCTTAGAAACCTCCGTTTTTGGTTTAAATCTAGCCCTTGAGAGAGAAAACTTTGAGTGAGAGAAAGAGAGAGAGATGAACGGGAGAGGGAGATAAACAAGAGAGAGAGAGAGAGAGCTCGGGATAAAGAAAGGGAGAGTGAGGGAGAGAGAGAGATTTAGGAAGAGAGAGAGAGAGTGTAACGTGTGGGAGAGAGAGAGAGAAAGGAAATAAGGGAAAAGAAAAGAAGAAATAAAAAGAAAAAGAAAATTGGGAAAAGTGTTAAGGAAAAATAAATAAAATAAAGAGGGGTGATATTGTAAATATTAAAAATAAATTTAAAAGTTCATGATTAATTAAGAAAAATTAATTTAGGCACACTAATAAATCACAATTATCATAATTAAACGTGCTTAATTCTAGAGTGCGTTACAGTTTTACTTTTAATTTGACCAAAAAATGTGCAATGTGTGTGCTTAATTTCTTAATGGCTATGGTATTAAAAAAAAATTGACAAAAGTTGGCAAATATTTGATACCAGAAAGGAATGAAAAGTGTAATACGCCTACAGGGGATAATTTGCCAAACATATTTCTTATTGGGAGTAATTTGCCAGAGACACCATAAATATGGAAAGAAAGGAAAAGAAGAGAAGAGAAGGAAGAAACGTGAAGGAAAAGGGGATGCGTTGGACCTATAAATATTGAGCTCTCTCCTCTGTTTTTAATCATCTTCTCTCTTCTTCTATCATCTTATTCTTTCTTCTTCTTAAAGTATTCCCATAGCGTGAGATAAATTTAATTCATCTAGTTTTTTCTTTTTTTGTGAGTAGTTTTTCCTATTTGCATTTGTGAGTAGTTTTTCGTATTTGCATGAGAGAGAGTTTCTTATTACTCTTTCCGTTTAATTTACATAAAATATTGTAATTCTTATTTTTCATAATAAAATTCTTCTATACTTATCTCGTGATTTTTATCTCATCTCTTTTGAGGATTTTCACTTTTTCATTTAAAATATCTGTGCCTATTTTATCTTTATTTTTTACTAAATTCTTATTTTATTTGCAAAAAATAACATCAAATCAGAAACAACATAGGTTAATGTTAGAAAACGAGAAGAGCTTCTAAACGACAGCCTTTTTTCACAACGACAACCTTATATTAAACGACAGTCATTCAAAAATAGCATGCGATAAACGACAACAAATCTAATCAACAATTCATAAAGCAGATTACAAACTCTGCCCATCTTGTAAATGTCGTTAACTTCTATTATTGGTCTAATCCATTCTATCATCCGCTCAATTTTTCGAAAACATTAATCAGTCTCCACAACCATAATAGTAGTATGCCAACGCAAACCCAGCACCTTAAAGCTTCTTTTGTAACTCTAAATCTTGTATTATCCAAATTGAGCAAGGAATTCGTTTTTTCATATTGGCATTTTTTCTATTTTTACTTTTGTTGATAATTTTTCTCTTTTAAGATTTGTATAGGTTATGTAGTAACTTTAATTGATTGGAAAACAACTTTAGATTGTTTCATACATGGAGATGGGGAAAAATTAAAAGGGAGAAAGAGGAAAATAGGTCATTGAGATGAATTAAAATTAATAGGCTAATAGTTTACATAAGTTAATAAATAGGTCAAATTACTATTTTCGTCCATAACTTGTCTGGTTATGAACCATAACTTGACAAGTTATTGTCTATAATTCATAGTTTTTGTCCATAACTTGTTTGGTTATGAACCATAACTTGACAATTTTGTTCATAACTTATCTGGTTATGAACCATAACTTGACAAGTTATGGCCTATTAATTTCTATAACTAAAAGTTGACCTATATACTTCCTTAAGCTTTTCATATTAGTCTATTTTTTACTATTTCCGAAATTTTTTTAAAACTCAAAATAAAGTTGAAATGTTAATTAACCGATAGTTAAAATTTTGCTATATATTGAATTGGCCAAGAATAAGAAAACTAAACACGTTTTGCTTATTTATGGAAGGTGTCAAACGGAATTCGATAGTGAACCATCGACATCTTAACCACACTATAATACAATTTTGATTAAAATTTATTAAAAAAAAAAAACTTAGCCTATAAGTCATAGTTATATTATTGAAGTGAATTACTTACATTATATTTCATAGGTTTGTTGTTGTCCAAATAGATGTATTAACACGTTTGTATGTGATATTTGCCTTCACGATAGAATATAATGGTTGTTGGACACAAATATGATTTGCCTCATCAATCCACATTATAATATTAAACGATATCCATCATGAGATATTTGTTTTATCATATATAAAAAATAAAGTAAGATATAAATAAAATGTTTATTTAAAATCTTCAAAATAATCTTCTTGAATTTACATAAGTTCCAACAAGATTAACCGTGTAGTTTTGCCTTCCTTTGAGAGAGCATTTAGTTACTAAGGGTGTGTTTGGTTTGGTGGAAAGGAATGTAATAGAATGAAATAAAATTCTAATTTGATGTTTGATTAAATTTATAAGAAATGAATGATCATTTAAAAAGAATAGCCATTTACCCATTTTGGGTGAATCATCATTCCTTCCTCATATGAGAAAAATGACCATTCTAAGTTTTATT